AAAAATTTAGTTCTATTTGTCACTTTTTAGAAGGAACTCGGTGATAAATTTGTATAGCTTTGTTAATGACATAGATGTAAACTATGGAGTTGACATGAATGTCCTAACCAAGGCTTATCGTGAAGAGCATGAAAAATACTATCTGAAGGTGCCAAATTTCTTTCTTATGTCGCTTTTCGCAACTGTACCGCAAAGTTTTAAAGCAGTGTTATGGTTTTTCATGATGAACCATATCATAAATCATGGGTATATGTCTAATAATGTATAGTTTTCATGGGGAGAAAATTTTCTTTCAACTATATTTTATTTTCTTGTTATTGGATACTTTGAATGTTATATATACCCAATACTTACAGTAATGCTGAGAACACATTTTTTACTTTCAGTTGAAGGTCTGGATGAATTTTTTCGCTGGTACTAACGCAGTGAAAAAAATCGATGTCACTTGAACATGGCTTAGAATTCATTCTAATTCATTTGGTTCCATTTCATCCAAAGCACGTTTTGTTGTATGCTGGCTGATTTGATCTGGATTCGAGCTAGATCTAGCTTGTTTGTTTCAATTGAGCCAAAGCACATTTTCATTCATTTTTTTTTGAATAATGCATGCCATTCTCAGTTCTACATTGCATGAATTCATAAATGCAGTACGGACATTCATAAATTAAGATATAAATTTACACATGTATGTCGGTATGTGTCCCTTGCACGTGTGCACACCCACATTTACTGTAATAGCTTTTGTACATAATTTTTTTGTTATCTTCCTCCTTTGTCTGAAGGTTTTGATAGAGCATAGCTTATAGTGGGCTCCTTGTTGAGTTAGATGTTGTGCACATCTAATGCAGACCTGATTCAAATTCTGTGAAAATGCCCTCTCACAGCAACTTGGGTTGCTTTGATGATAGAAAAAACTAAATTGATGGAAGAGGAAGGATTGGACATTCTTTTTGGTTTTTGGACATTCTCTCTTTATGTTAGCAAATTTTGTTATGCTCTACAGGAAATTATGTTTATAGTTGGTGCAAGTTCCATCTTCAAGCATGGAAATGGGTATCTCGTGCAAAAAACAGTTTCATTTGGGCTGAAAAGTTTTTGGCAGCCTGAATAGATATGGAAATGGGTATCTCGTGCAAAAAACAGTTTCATTTGGGCTGAAAAGTTTTTGGCAGCCTGAATAGATATGGAAATGGGTATCTCGTGCAAAAAACAGTTTCACTTGGGCTGGAAAGTTTTTGGCAGCCTGAATAGACATGGAAATGGGTATCTCGTGCAAATAACACTTTCATTTGGGCTGGAAAGTTTTTGGAGCCTGAATTGGGCAAGTAATTGTAGAACATAAAGAATGTTTTGTAGGCACTGGGCAGAACTTGCAATTTGTATCGTATAAAAGAATGGAGGACATTTGGGAGAAAGTGTGTTGACAGCTCTAAGTATCCATGATTCATTCATACTACTTATTCTATATTTTGGTTTTCATGTTGGAACAATTACACCTATTTTTTGCATAGATAATGTGGCATGTAAATATATAACCTAAAGTTTGACATTTGCATCAGATTTGTGTTGGAAGGTAAATGCTCCTTTTTATAAACTTTGAAAAGCTTACTTGTTTGTCTTAGCACTTCAGGTTTAATCTGCATATGGTGTGCTAATTCTGGTACGGTGAATCTGCATTTGGTTTAATCTGCATTTGGATAAACAATTCATTCAGGTTTAATCTGCATTTGGTTTACTTGTTTGTCTTACTTGTTTGTCTTAGCACTCCAGAAGCAAATATTGTGGAAAGTGAAAGCTTGAGAAATTTGAAAAGCTTAATGGTGGCTCCATATTCTTTTCCATTAGTTGCTGATGTAAATGATCATATCTCAGGACATTTGCCAAACAAAATTATTTCTCCATCTCAACATTCTGATCTTGGCATGTTGGCTTGTTGGAATATTAGTGTACTAGTTAATTGTTTCTAAAATTCTAAGATTGTGGTAGAATAGACAAACATGACACAGGCCCACAAGCATGGCTGGGTTATGTATTGCTTATTTTTTATTCCATAGAATAACTGCTTTGATAATATATTTAGGTGCAATATTAATGCCTTTAATTATGGTGCAGGAAATAGCTTATGCATATTGCAGTTTGGCAGGGAAGTATTAATGTTGGTTTTATTTGATGGTTTGGATTTGTTTTTGTTGTCTCTTAACTGGAATATTTATTTGCTTTAGATACTTGCTAAGCTGGGCACTTCAATTGCGAACTTGATGTGGTTTTGGAAAGAAATTATAAAAGAGGTTTCTCTTTACCCGTAAAGTCGTAATATATTTGTATATGTATTGTGGTGCAATAAAGATAATTCCTCATGTCAATTCTGCTAACAGTTCAATGGAAAATGACATTCATAGCTAAACTTGCAGTTCTGCTAACTGCTAAGGTTCATTTGATTGCTTTGATAATCTATTTGGGTGCAATATTAATGCCTTTAATTGTGGTGCAGGAAATAACTTATGCATATTGCAGTTTGGCGGGGAAGTATTAATGTTGGTTTTATTTAATGGTTTGGATTTATTTCTGTTGTCTCTTAACTGAAATATTTATTTGCTTTAGATATTTGCCGAGCTGGGCACTTCAATTGCAAGCTTGATGAGGTTTTGGAAAGAAATTATAAAAGAGGCTTCTCTTTACCCGTAAGGCCGTAACATAATTGTATATGTATTACGCATTTACATTTGCCTGAAGTTAAAGTTGATTTGTTCATTTTCTTACAGATAGAGCTTTTGGGCAAGCATGGATTCATGGTTGAGCTTCATGAATTAATCCTGAGGATGTCATTTGAGCCTTCCATCCCAATGTGGAGTAGAATTTATTATAGCTGTAGTAATTACTAATTAGTAAACATGTGTATAGGAGATTGAGGGAAGTGAATGCAAGTTTAATTTACAATTTAAAATTTGATTTCAAATTGAGCTCTTAGAATTGAAATGAATTTACAATTTGAACATTATCTATTTATGTAAGATATTATTTGTTTGACTAATGATGAAGAGATGTTTTTGTGGAAGTTTTTTATTTATTGTTTTTGATAATTTGAGAATTAATTAATAATTCTTATATATTTTATTTAGAGTTATTCCAATTTTTTAAAGTTAAAATGGTTGCATTTTTTATGTGGTGTGAGAATTAATATTTAATTTTTTTTCTATTTAACAGATTAAAAAATATAAAAAATTTGAAAATTTTCGAACGTTTCGAACAATTCGAACATTTCGAACATTTCGAACATTTCAAACATATTCGAACAATTCGAACGATTCGAACGATTCGAACTAATTTCGAACAAATCGAACCGAACACGAACAGACCTTTCACGAATAATTTCGAACACGAGTCTATTTCAAACAAACAATATTTCAAACGAACCGAACACGAACACGAGCACTGTTCGTTCGTGTTCGGTTCGTTTACACCCCTATCTCCCTCCCTCTTTCTCTCATTTTCTTTTGATTCAAACACTCGAATCCTTTTGTCGTGCCTCCCAGACAAATTCAGATTCAACATACAATTGGGTTGTGATAGAAATGATGATATTAGAACCTCGTTTGAAGATCGGACAAAACAAAAATATTTGTTTAACTAGTTAAATTTTAGGAACATTTTCCCCTCAGAACGACATTTCAACAACATTTCCTTCCGTTCTGAATGGCATATCGGGGGCAATAGTGTGGAATGTAGTCTTTAAAATAATGTTTCTTGACGATGGATGGAACGAGAACTAAATGTAATAAATTAATGAATAGCTACATTAGAAAAAAAAATAATAGAGTAATATTTATTTAAAATCAATTATCTTAATTTGTCTTCGTAAATTAAAACATATACAATAAATGATGAATTGATGAAATTACGATGCATGCATTAAGAAGAAAAATAATAATATCTAAATTTATTTTAACAAAAGTTATTTAAAATATTTTGACAATAAGAAATGTAATACCTCATTTATTACTTTTGAAAAAATAAATATTTACTGCACAAATCTCAAAGAACCAAGACAGTATTAAGAGCGATCAATATAATATTTTCATAGGACCAATCAAAATAATGCCACATAATCATTCATTAACAAATATGGTCCGCCAAGCCCCAAGGGTGTCGCGGGTTAGGGTTTGACTGTACTTGTTCTCCCGCTAGTATACGAATCGAATATGACTTGCGTCGTCCTCTTCTTCGGTGTTCTTTAGCGCTGCCTTTGCCTAAGTTCGGCATTTCGCTTCCGGCTACTGCTCGAAATGGAAGCGGACATGGACGCTTCGCCGAGCTACTTCAACCCGGAAGATTTGAGCAGCAGGGAGAAGTATCGCCGTTACAGGTGCGGGTTTCGTCATTGTGGGATACTTTTTTCTTCTGTAGATGTTAAAAGCTTTGTTTGGATGCTTGGAATTTAAGAGTGTTAATTTTGGCGGATGCCCATCAAAATCTGTTCGGACTTGCGAAATCGGCATGAATTAGGTTGTTATTTTTAATTTGGTGGAGTCTATGATGTAAAGTTATGCATTGAAGCCAAATGTACCATTTTGATCTATTTGATTCGTACTTAATTGGTAGAAATATGAAAACTTCTTCGCTAATAGCTTTTAGAATATATCTTATCCAAGGAGGTAATTAGCATTATCTACCTTGCGCTAAAGAAAGCAATCTTACACAGGTAGTTCTTTTTATTGTATCCTCTATACGACTATTGTGTCAGCAAGTGTAATTATGATGCCACAAAAATTATATATTTTTTAATTTCTTAAGCCATGGTTTGAAATTTTAAAACTAAATATTTGTTCCATTGAGTCATTGCATTTCTTCTTCTATCTATCTATCTATAACATGCTCCTAAGTCAGAAGAAGTGGCTCATTACACTTCTAGAAGTAGAACTTGGAGAGTCTACCTTTAAGTAAGCTTTGTTTTTTTAATTTATTTTTTAATTAGGGAGTAATAATTCCAACATCTGACTGTTGAATTCTGCAGGAAATGGTATTGTTTAGACTGCTTGTAAAATTTTCCTATGACAGATATAAGTTTTCGGAGCATATAAGATTGGTATTTAGATGTTTATCATCTTACGTTAACTTTATGGCAGATGCTACATTCCCTAACATGAAGTGCTACCTCTATTATCAGTTTACACGTCCCAATTTTTATCAAGTGTAACCTAACATACCCTTTCTTGATCCTATATGTTTTTTATGCAGGATAAGACAGTCCACTTCGAGCATTTCACCCCTATTGGGAAATTCTGTTTCTAAGCTTTCTGGAGCTAGACTCTTATATGAGGGCAACAACATACAGAGGAGAACTAACGCTGCACTTCTGCTTGAAGAGATTAAGCATGAAGCAGAGAGTTATGATCTTGATGGCTTGGAGCAAAATGGCCCCAAAACAAAATATTTATCAAAAAACCGAGATTCTGTTGATGGACATGGACTCTCTGAACTGAACGCAGGTTATAATTTCGTTCAATCTAGCCAACCAGTTAAATTATTGAAACAAGAGGATGAGCCGCTGGTGGATGGTGGAGAGACAACCTTTTCTCTATTTGCATCCCTATTGGATTCTGCTCTTCAAGGTTTTTGTATTTCTTCTTTCAGTATTTAATTTCTCTTGAAACTTCATGTCTGTGTCCGTATGTGTAAATGAAGGTTAACACATGATTGGCACATCAGCTTGATTTCGTAAAGCCTAGGAAGATTTACATACATACAGTATCAATTCTTATTTATTTAGATAGCTAACACCTAAACTTCATTTTTTACTTATCTGCCATCTTACTTATGCATGAAAATGTGTATTTCACTTTTTAGAAGTTAAAATACATGGTAGAAATGTGAAAAACATAGAAATTGGTTGGTATGTATGTAAATGCCCCGTAAGCTTCTTGTTTACTTGACTGTTTCAATTATTTACCATGTAACCGAAGCTTAGGTTTGTTGGGAATTTGATGAAATTTTATAACTATCTTGCTCTTTTGTATCTACGTCGATTATGTAGTTATTCCAGCAAGCACAATGTTATGACACTATTTTACAGTAGTAATCTTGTCATATTTTTTTTCTGCTAATCATTTACTTATTATTGAAGCAGTAAAGATTTATGGTGCACATAAACTCCGTTGAAAGAGAAACGACATGGGTCCATATGTGATATAAAGAAGCAACACAATCTTGAAATTCATTACACTAAATGATATACGACCATATTCAATAGTTATTGAAAGTTTGTCGCATTACATTTTTTAAAACACATTATATGTATTTTAGTATATCAACATCATTTTATTTTGTTTATTGAAAATGATATATGACCATATTCAATAGTTATTGCAAATTTACTACATTACATTTTTAAAACACATTATATGTATTTTAGTATATCAACGTCATTTTATATTGTCTATTCCTTTTTTTTTAGTATCTTTGATTTTATGCCATCACATAACAATGAGTCACTTAGTTTATTCGTGGTTTGCTGCTTTTAGTTTCTTGGTCCAACTAAAATAGTTCAAGTTTTTCTTTGAAAATTATTCTATTTTTATATTATGTTTATAAGTATCAATCTTAATCAGACATTACTATTACATAAGTTCTCATATTCAAATCTTTATTTGGTGGGAAATTTTAATTGTAATATGTTGTGACTCTGACATTTTTTTGATTCATATATGCTCAATAAGTTGATGTATAATGAAGAGTTAATAAGTTTATTTGTGGGTTGCTGCTTTTATTTCCTTGGTATAATTAAATGGGTTCAAATTTGTCTGTCAAAATTATGGTCTTTTTATGATATGTTTAGAGGTATTAATCTTTATTAGACATTACTATTAAATAAGTTCTCTCATTTAATTCCTTATTTGATGGGAAATTTAATTTTAGTACTGTGATCTGACATTGTTTCTCTTTCATTTATGCTCAGTAAAGTTGATGTTTGATATAACTCTGTTACAATCACCATAACAAATGTTCTATGAATCTTTCTTGTTAGATTCTCCATTTTTTTTCCTTGGTTGAACCCCAACTAGTGATTGAGACACGGTTGTACGTAAGCTAATAACATGCTTATGGACGCCTGAGAAGGGAGTAGCCTTGGGACTTTTCAATTTGTTTCAATCCCATGATTTTATAGAAGGTTTGATTTACCTTTTGAATAGATCATTTTTCCTTGAACTATGTGTTGGGTAAAGGTGTATAGAAGTCAAACCCAAGAGTTTTAGCCTATAAAATTATGCTAGTGCTAATAATGTGAGATGATGCGCTTAAACTCAAGCCCTTAAACTATATGACAACTTAATATGGCATAAGCAAACTAAGTTGACCAAGATTTGTAGCTAAGTGGTTCACATTTTCATAGAACCAAGAAAAAACATAATTAGGCCATTGCACATATGATTTAGTAATTGACGCGGAAGATTTTCATCCCACGGTATTGCAGTAGCTACAGTACAACAGACGTATTTACTGTAGCTGCTATGGTAACCGCAAATCCTTCTTGCCTTTTTAGCTTCCCCTCTCTCCTTTTGACTCTCTTTCATAAGGAGTCTCCTCCCTATTCATTGCCTATCTTATCTACCACCTTCCACTTTAAATTCCATCATTTTGCATCCCACCCCCTCTTTAATTCTTACATAAGTGTATCTTTTAATCTCTCCTATTTGTAGGTTCTGCTTTATGAAAACTAGACAATTTTTTTGGATGAGGGGAGAATTTTGGGAGTTCTGAGTTTGAGGCGTTCTTTCCCTTCAGGGGATGTACTCGATGATGAGAGGTGGCAACTGCTTCAAGGGTCCGGGTGGTGCTCCTGTTGTAGCTTGACCCCGGCGGGCCATTTATCCTTCCACAACCCATTTGAACCTACTTCCAACAATTACAAACCATTTCAAGGCTTTCGATCCACTGCCCAACCACCATCCACCACTTCCACTTGCTGTTATCGACCTCCCTGCTCCCCAAAATATGTTATCCACTCTCTGTTTTCCCTTGCAGGCTGCTGCACGCTCATTTTAGCCTTCAGTTGCGCTCGTCTCTTCCAACCAATCCCTCGACCTGTTGCCCTGTCGTCGTCCACTACCCTCATCGCTACCTTAGGTCTCTTTCGTGTTTGTATTGTTGTTATTTTCTAACTATCAAAATTGATGTGGGATTTCCGCCCACAGTACTGTAGCAGTTACAGTACCGAAATCCCGCAGTACTGTAGCGACTGCTGTACCGCGGAAGCTGTTATAGTAATCACGGATTTTTCTTGCCTTTTTAGCTTACCCTCTCTCATTTTCTCTCACTTTCATGAAGAGTCACCTCCCTATTCATTGCCTAAATTATCTACCACCTTTCACTTCTGTCATACTTCAAATTCCTTCATTTTTCATCCCACCCCATCTTTAATTATTGCCTAGTCTATCTCCTATTTATAGGTGCTGTTTTATGAAAACCGAACAATTTTTTGATGAGTGGAGAATTCTGAGTTCTGCCTTTGAGGCGTTCTTCCTCTCCAGGTGCTATACCCTATAACGAGAAGATGCTCCGACTGTAGCTCGTTCGAGGTGGTGATCGTATCAAAGAGTCTGGGTCATGGTCCGACTTTAGCTTAACTGCGACGTGACATTTATTATTCCCAACCCCTCTTACCCCGCTTCTAGCAGCTCCCAACTATTGGACTCCGATCTGCTGCACAACCACGTCCACCACTACCACTTGCTGCTGCCCACCTCCATGCTCCCCAAAACTTGCTGTCCATTCTCTATTTTCCCCTGCCGCCTCCCCTAATTTTGTGTACAGCTACTGCCATCACCCTCACAGCACCCCACCGACTGCTGTACCTTTATTCCAACCTCATGTTGCGCCAGTCTCCTCCAACTAATCTTGATCTGCTGCCCAACCCCGTCACCACCCTCACCGGCACTCTAGGGTGTCTTCAGCGTTTGTATTGTTGTTATTCTCTTATTATCAAGAGTCGATATTTGTAGTCCTTTTGAATTTCAACAATAAAATTATCATTTTCTATTATGGTTTGAGATTTTTCTTCGGTATCATTTGGTATCAGAGCGTCAGCCCAACCATAGTTTTATCTTAGGGTTCCCTAGATCCGCTCCTACCCAAACCATCCCTACTAAAATTTTTCTATCATAAAAGCTTCTACAAATGAGGTCAAAGCTTCCCTAACCCTGTGATTTTGATGCGAGAGCTTTCTACCCGCAAAACTGTAGCTGACACGGTACCACAGACGTTGTTACTGTAGCAGCTACAGTATCGGGGATGCGGTACCGTAACTGCTACATTAACCACACATCCTTCTTACCTTTTTGGCTTCTCCCTCTCTTCTTTTCACTACCTTTAAAGAGTCTCCTCCCTATTCATTACCCACCTTAGCTACCACCTTCCACTTCTATCCTATTTCAAATTCCTTCCTTTTTCATCCCACCCCTTCTTTAATTCTTGTCTAGTCTATCTCCTAATCTCTCCTATTTATAAGTGCTATTTTCTGAAATCCAGACAGTTTTGGATTAGTGGATAATTCTGAGTTCTGCCTTTGAGGCGTTCTTCCCCTCTGTGGGCTATACCCGACGATGAGAAGGTGTTTCAGCTGTAGCACGATCCCGACAAGATATTTATCCTTCCACAGCCTCATTTTACCCCGCTTCCAACATTTGCCAACCATTTCCAAGCCTCCGATCCACTGCCCAGCCGCCCTCCACCACTTTCACTTGCTGTTGTTCACCTCCCTGCTTCCCAATACCTGCTATCCACTCTCTATTTCCCCCCATTGCTGCCCCTAAGTTCGTGTCCATCTGTTGATATCATTCTCATAGCACCCCGCTGACAGCTGTACTTTAATTCCAGCCTCCTGTTGCGGCTGTCTCTTCCGACCAATCCCCCTCACCGCCACCCTAGGCTGTCTTTCGTGTTTGTATTGTTGTTATTTTCTTATTATCAAGAGCCATGTTTGTAACTCTTTTGATTTTTAGCAATAAAATTATCATTTTCTATTATGGTTTGAGTTTTTCTCCGGCATCATTTGGTATTAGAGCTAGACCAACTTTATTCTTATCCTAGAGTTCCCTAGATCTGCCCCTACTTAAACTACCCCCACTATTATCTTTTTGCTCTAAAAGTTTCAATGAATGAGGTCAAAGCTTCCCCAATTTTTGGAGATCGATGCGACAACTTTTCATCCCGTGGTTACTGTAGCAGCCACAGTACCGTGGATACAGTTACTATAGCAGTTGTAGTAGCGCGGATGCGGTTACTGTAGCAGCTACAGTACCGCGGTGCAGATCCTTCTTGCCTTTTTGCTTTCCCTTCTATTTTTCACTCCCTTCCATAAAGAATTTCCTTTCTATTCATTGACTATCTTATCTACGACCTTCCACTTGTATCATATTTCAAATTTCTTTCTTTTTCATCTCAACCCTCTTTAATTCTTACCTAATCTATCTCCTAATATCTCCTATTTATAGGCGTTGTTTTATGAAAACGAGACAGTTTCTGGATGAGTGGAGAATTCTAATTTCCGCCTATGAGGCGTTCTTCCCCTTCTGGGGCTGTACCCGACGATGAGAAAGCCCTCCGACTATAACTCGTTCGAGGTTGTGACCGTCTCGAAGGGTCCGGGTGGTGCTCCGACTCGCCGAGATATTTGTCATTCTGCAACCCCCTCCGACCCCACTTCTAGCAACTGCCAACCATTTATATGCCTCCGATCCACCACCCAGCTGTCGTCCACCACATTTACTTGCTGCTGCCCACCATCCTGCTCCCCTAAACCTGTTGTTCACTCCTTGTTTTCCACCTGCCGCCTCCCCTAAATCCGTGTCCAACTGCTGCAATCACCCTCATAGCACTCCGCCGGTTGTTGTACCCTTATTCCAGCCTCCTGTTGCGCTTGTCTCCTCCAACCAATCCCTCGACTTATTGCCCAACCTATTCACCACCCTCACCACCACCCTAGGGTGTCTTCCGTGTTTGTATTGTTGTTGTTCTTCTATTATCAAGAATCGGTGTTTGTAGTCCTTTTGAATTTCAACAATAAAATTATCATTTTCTATTATAGTTTGGGCTTTTTCTTTGATATCAGTAATGTTCGGCGAGCGAATCAAATTTTGAAAACGCATATATGTTTTTTGTGAGTCTAGAATGATATCATGTTTGACATGCTATTTGAAGAAAAATAATTTTTGAGACAAACTTAGCCTTTTAGGACTCTTATACACTATCTTTTACACCATTTTCCATTTCTACCCAATTCTCTCTAACACTAGTTGATCTCAAACTTTCTATTTATTTTTGGAAATTTTACATAAGAAGCACACAATTTTTATGTATTTACATATCTCATACAAATTTTCATATTTGCATATATATAGCAGGTGCTTTAAATTTATGCATGAAAATGTGATAATTGTGCTACCTTTGATGTGATATTAAAAATTTGAGTGCTATGTGTAATTTTGAAAGTTCAGCTGTGAGATATATAAACACATTTGAATTGTGTGCTATGTATATAAATGCCTCTTTATTTTTTCCTACTTTCTCATTCTTTATCATTCTGAAGTAGATTCTTATTGAGTAGATCATGACTGAACCTATTGGGCAAACAACAATTACTAAACTGCCTTTGAAATATGCCTCCTTTGGAAAATTCGTGCATCACATTTATTATTTTGGAGGAGTATGTCCACCATGACTTTCCATTTGAAAATCCCTTCTATCCTGTGGGGATGCTGAGAGCAAATTGGTTGACATAGATAGTTGACACATTTTCTAGACTCACATTGATTGTTGATATCATTTTTATTTCATTTTTTGCCATTATATATATTTTTTCTTGTGTTTATGAGCAGGTTTTATCCTGTACTAATTATGGTTAATGAAGTTCTATTAAAGCTTTAGATAACTCCAGCTATTTTCTC